TGTTCCAAAAACGTTTTCCCCAAAACCGACCATCCCTCCGCACGGTACCTCATTGATAAATTAATCTATTGTGGGTTTATACTTTATAATTTGCACTTTCATGTTAGAACCTCATTTAGCTTTATTTAAACTAACAATAGCTAGCTATTTTTACATTCACGTAATTTAGCAGACGCTCTTATCCATACATTATTTTTAATACTGGCCCCCCCATGGGAATCGAACCCACAACCCTGGCGTTGCAAACGCCATGCTCTACCAACTGAGCTACATCCCTGCCGGCCATTCCCTCCCCTACCCTGGGCCAATTGTGCGCCTCCCCATGGGGTCTCCCGGTCGCGGCCGGCTGCGACAGAGCCTGGATTCGAACCAGGATCTCTAGTGGCACAGCGCCACTCGGGAGGTCAAGCACTTGAGTGGCTGGACCAGTTTTCCCAAAAGTGAACGATGTGTAACGTCAAGTGCTTGCTAGCCAATCAACAACGTCAACAACTGACTGCATCTACTAAACTTTAATAATGAAACTGATCATGACTAGGTTTAATCTACTTTCACTGCGATTGGTTAGTCAACATGCAATGATAAGTTGGTGATTTATAAAGGCAAGTACAAACGCATATTTTACATATATATAAGATGTTTGGTATTTCTCAAGTGAAAAAAATGGTAATGACAACTAGTCGTCTCTCGTTAAATGACAACAAACACTTCTTTGAAGAATCCCTTCTGTTGACCAATCACAGACCTTTTTTTTTTGTCGTTTAGCAGACGCTCTTATCCAGAGCAACTAGGGTGAAGTGCCTTGCTCAAGGGCACATCGACAGATTTTTCACCTAGTCGGCTCAGTCGGTTTCTGGCACAACGCTCTTAACCACTAAGCTACCTTCCGCCAGTACAGACTTCAGCTACCGAACTTCGACTAGCCTGAAGAAAAATAATTGTGTGCTCGAACAGCCGAAAAAAAAACCTCTGCCGACCGCTGCCGAACACCAAAACTAACAAAAACGTACAAATATTTAGTCATAATATATGCTCGAACTGTTTAGACTTGGAATCATACGGTAAGCTTTAGAGGTTCCAAGCCCGTTCTATTCATTATATTTCTATGTGTGCATTACATTGGTAATAGTCCATGTTACCGCAACAACGGACTGAACTGGACTCAAATACACAAATGCCCTTCCCGGCCATCCCGTCTTCAGTCAGCTGTTCGTTAAAAAAAAGAAAGAAATTATGGGTATGACGGTTATTTTATTTTCATGACGGTCTTCATCCATAACC